CTTCCCAACAAGTCTTTGTATGTGGCCATGGTATTCCATCGACTGCATGGCTTCAATGGTTTGTGTTGCATACTCATACTCACGCAGTTTTTTAGCATCATCTGCTTTGATAACTGCCCTGTTTTTTCGCTAGCAATCATTTGTACATCACAAGTTCTTTACATGCGACTGGATATCATTCTTCTGCATCGAGATAACTCTACTCTGTGACTATATTGTTTGCCTCCTCATAAGTGTACTGCTCGAGGTAATTTATTAGTTTCTAATTCAACCAGAACATTTTGCTGTGCATCTGACACCGCGATTTCGGTTTCTAAAACCAACACTTTTCCCTTATTTTGAATTGCATCTTTGCTTGTCCTTCTTTCATTTTATCTAGCTTGATCGTCTTGTCTCTTTGCATTCTCTGCTTCAATCCCAAGCTGCAATCGCCTGTCTTTCCCGTTCTAATGCTTGTTTTTGCTTCAACTTTGCTACTCTGGCTAACAGTTCAGCCTTTCTTTGGTCCTCTTTAGCTCTTACTATGGTCAATGAGTTCACGCGTGTTGAGGTACTGCTAGTATGCGATTTCTGTGAATAACTTGAAGGTGTCTTTCTAGTTTGAGAATCGCTGTCCTCTGGCATCACATTTGCATCACGCAGTTTTCGCGCTTCACACTCTTTACGTCTTATCCATGCCCTTGCACTTGCTCCTACACTTTCATAATGTACACATTGTGGTCTGAACCAATCCATGTTTATGTTGGTCCTCTGTTGATAGCAGTTGTTTGTATCGCAGGTAATGGGAAATTCCTTGTATAACACCATCCACTTTGTATAGGCTTGCCTTAATGATTTCGAGTCTGTCAGTGAGTCTCTCATCAAACACAAAATTGCAACAGTTTCCTAATTCAGCCGTTTACATATCTGGTTCGCTTAGCGAACATTACCTCCATCTTGTCAATTCGCAGTTGACTTATTCGTATTTACTAGTTGGACACCAGGTGTATTGCTGACTGGAATTACACTTCAGTAAAGTTAACATGTATGTCAAATAAGAACTAACCTGGAAACTCAACGGATGTTGATCAAATACGTAAATGTAAATGTAGCGTTTATAACCCGTATTCAAGAGCCCTTTGTCTTTTACTAGTAATGACAAATGTACATAGATGCATATTTCACACCGTCGTCAATGCGTGCTACTCACAATAATGAAATAAATGTAGTATAGTGTAGCTCAGTACAACCAAACTTTACAAATGAAGTACTAGTACACATATGATGAGCGATTGAAATAAATAAAAGAAACAATAAATATCTAACACACTATGGCATTATAAATCAACAATGCAATAAGTGGTAGACTGACAGCACCATCTAGTGGCGAAACAACTGACGTAATGCAGCAAAAATAAAAGCAAGAAACATATCACTAACATATCAAATGATCATTAGGCATGCGTAATCTGTGAAATATCATGAGCAAAGTTGATGTGAAATCATCATAGTAAAGTACTAAGTAAATATGATTTCAAAGCTAATGAACATTGCATGCTCCAACTTAAATACATGAATTATTACTTAAACACAATCAAATAATTCATGCTGTATTTGTAGATCTTCCCAAGCACAGTTGACCTCAGTATAGTCGTATTTCAGAAGTTCCGATGCTCATTTCTAAAATAATAATAATAATAATAATAATAATAATAATAATAATAATATGGAATGATTACGCGCGTAAGCGTCCTCTAATAATAAAAACAAACATGGCTGCCACCAGGGTTTGATCGGACTCCATACAAAGAAGTTTGCTGATTCTGTTCTAAACTTTTAGATTTCGGCATGTATCCATGGTAGGAAAAGATGTATAATAAAAAGGTTATTACGAAGATACCTCAAAGTATGCACTCCTCGTGATAACATTATATTATTATTATTATTATGAATAACTGATGCTCATTGAACACGATTCGACATAAAGTATTGGGTCAATAATTCCACGAGCTCTCGCCAGTAGATTGCAACTCTAACTATAGGTGGCGCTATACCATAAGTTAACAAATAGCACATTTATGTGAAATATAAGATAGGGCTATAGAGCCTAAGACAAAATTTCAGTGACAATACTAGGTAAATAATGCTAATAAAGCAGTAATTTGGCCATAACACCTGCGCTAAAAAAAACAGCTGTAACAGTTATCGAACATATCCACATCAGCGACATTGTCATACTCACTCAGTAGTGCACGGGTTTATTGAAAAGTAATACCCTGTTAGTATTCAATATAAACAGGCGTTTCGGGAAAAAAACATTATCTGTATAGGGATGTGCGTGAATAACAATCGCTTATAATACACCTCTATGGAAATATTGTTTAATTTATTATACCGTAACTGACAGTGACGTGTCAATTGCGGATGTTATGATATATTGTATGGAAAAACACGCATGGGTCTGAAGGCATTTTTACTATAATTGTAAATTCAGACCGCACTAGGTCGAGCGGGGCTTTGACTACTCGTGTGTGCGTCCTAATTATAATTTGAGTTACATGTGGTTCGTTTAAATGTGGAATATTACAATGAGGATTCACAACTAAAAATATTTGAGCAGACTAACAGTTCTAGACTGATACAATGTCATCCATCCTATTCAAAACAATAATATCGGTGATTTTGATTTGAAATTGAAAATCAAACCATACGTAGAAATATCGATCTTCATAAATTTGCAAATGATATCATCGTCTATGTCTGTGATGTAATGAATGAAATAAAAATTGTCATACACTTACCAATGAAGCGAGATGAAAACAGGCGATACGAACGCGTTGAATGGGCGACGCGAGAACGACGAATTGACAACTCACTTGTGATAGTTAGGCAACAAGAATGCGGGAATATGATTTATCACATCTCACTGATATTATAGCCACTGTTGTGAAAACATTGAGAAATGATTTCATCCTGTTGCTTGTTGCGATGTACGTTAGGTGTAACTATGCATGGTGGATTTCTGTTCGATGTGATAAAATAAATAATCCATGACCATTCGGACATTATCACAAACATGTGTTATTATTTAACAATGACAAAAACATGTTTCTGCACGGGAAGAAACATTCACTTTCCGACTGCCTAGGACAAAAAGAATTCAAGATCGTTGATAGTGACAAGTTACCTAACTAGTATGCATTTCGAGAAACCACAGTGTGTGTGCATGCGCAGTTTGAAATTAAACAATTTCGACCGCAATAAAATCACGCGTAAAACTCGGGCTCCAGCAAGATATTGTAGCGTCAAACTGGCTTTGGTTGAATTGTTTTGCAATATACATAATTGTAGAGCCTGTGTTTTCTATGAAGGTTTCGTTAAGATTATTCTGTAAAGAAATTGCTGAAATTATTTCACCTGTTCGTAAAAGTGGCGTTGTTGCTTTGACGATGGACAATGAACCACTGATATCGAAACGTGCCATTCGGACCGGATGGCGCCCTCTCGTGCCAAGCCCCCCTGCTTTGTGCAGTGATGATAAGTAACGAGAATCGAACTGTGCGGAGTTCAGCATTAGATAGTAAGCTCAACGAATAAGTTAAACATTTTTACATAGTTCCCTCCTCGACACGCCTGAGCTGATTCTCGTTGCCATTGACAACACATACACCAGAAATAGACATGTCTGTAATGTTATATGTACACTAGAATTAAAATGAAGTAAAACAGGATAAAATAGAATGCTCCTGTTTAGTTTGTCGTAGATGTTCAGCAAACCAATCACCTAATCGACAATCTGTAGAACTAATACAAAGTTTTCCGCATTTATTACATGAAATGCAAAAAAAAACAAAAAAAAAACAGCATTCTTGGTAATACAAATAAAAGCATTATTGACCAAAAAAATCTCCCTTGGGACCAAATATACGATTAGAGTCAGTAATAAAAGAAAAGTATTACACGGCGTTTTACGAACGGTTATATATTTTGAGTGTTAAAAGTATAATAACATCTAGTTCAATTTCAGATCGCTGACGTGATATATTCTCATTTACATATTATTTCAAATATAGCATCTACGAGAGGATGTGACAACCCACCGATGTTAAAATTGAACACGCACGCCAATGTTATCAGCGACACGTACACAGCAAATTCAATTGAAACCATGGCTTTCAATGTCTCTGTTAGTTCCATTATCCAAACCAAATGACTTCATTAATACGATTTGTGTTTTCACATATTCCAATTAACATATCACAATACCATACAATGGATAAACGATGGTTAACTATGACATCAAGTATGGAGATGAGCTAATACTCGCTTCCCAAAGCAATCGATGGCATAAATTTTACAATAATAAAACAACATACCAGGACATTTTAACGGCACGTACATCGGCGTCTGACGTTAGATATCAAGAAAGTTAGGAGCATGGTCACTATTTGCCAGCGGTATTAACTATACATATTCATTTTGCATTTGTCGCAAAATACGTATTATTTGGCTATTGATAACTATGATACATGTTGGATACTCGATCACGAGAAGCTTTTCGTGGGTTAAAGGCAGATGCAGATCTTGATCTATTATCCCCATTTATGAAATTCCTAGTTATTTCACAAACACGAATTAAAGTTAATGACATGTACAGGATATGTATTTTGTACACTTATTCTTATTGCTTTTGATTACATTCTGTGTACATGTAATACAATAATGACACCCAAGACGCTCTATCATATTAACGTATGACTTTTCACGGCTCGGAAAATTTTCAGTAACTAGCAAAACAAATAGAATGTAGCTGCACACGCTTAACTTCTACGTGGCGGTATGCTGCTAATGTGAACGAAGCATAAATTTAGAATTTGTTTTTGCTTTATTCAGTGAATCGTTTTATTCACAAAAAATCAACAAACATCTTGAACACTTGAACCATCGATTTGCTGATCAGAAAACCAGCACTAAACTGTGAACTGCACTGGGAAAACTAAGTAAAACGCAACACAGCGACATTTCCAGTAACAAGAACGATTTAATCTCACCCATATGAATGTGCGATACACAACTCGTCAAATTAGCTTGAAGAAATTAATAGGAGTACTAAACGTGTTGTTTGACCATGGTCATAATATAATATATTGACATGAGATTACGTGCGTGAAAAAATTATAAAAATTAGAAATGAAACAAAAATACCAAACGTTGTAATAACGTTATCGCGATAGCATCTAATGGATACATATAGTAACACAATTAGTATTCATAAAACTCATACTATAATCAACGAAATTAAAATAGATTAGACAAATACGAGACACCCATTTCAATGACATTAATTTTATAAAGGAAAACCCTCATTCCCGTGGATCACCGCACACATATGGTTTATTGTACTAATATTTCTAGTTCAGTGAACAAGGAGTGCTTTCATGATGTTTCTTTCCAAACACTTCCACTTCACACAGGTGTAAATAGTTGTTATGATCTTTCAGTTGTACGGCAACATAACGCCCACTTATCTGACAATCAAATGTGATCTTCTCTCCATATGTGTTTGCGTTCCAGTCAATTTGATCTCCACATTGGGCATTTTGGCTTATATCAGAACTTTCACCAATTGACACCACAGCTCCGTCAATTCTCTCAGCTGAAATATCGAATATGCATTTTTGTAGAAGTATTGCGTGTATTGAGGGGTATTAAGTCCCATAGGGCACGATTAATGCATGAAATATATTCAATAAACTATAATGGAATAAACAATGCAAAGTGTGTGTTATTTATGTGTTATAGCATATGATATATTTAATTTTATGATTCAAATTGTGTAATTCAAACAACTTACAAAGAATAAAAATATGAGATAATATTATTGCGTTCCGTGTATTATTGTTTAACTGGTGTATACTTACAACAACAATCTTGTCGATTGGTTATTACCACTTGAGATATAGAGTATGTTTCTCCAAAATCTAGTTTCCACCAAGCGTCCTGTTCCTTTGCAGTATGGCTACAACTTAAATCACCATATATGGAATCATCATTTCCATCATTAGCATAGTTAGCTGGTCCATCATAAGCGGTGCTGCTTTGGCTTGCTGTTCCTTTGAGTGCAATATTTTCTATTTAAATTCAACATAATATAGAATTGGTTAAATCTTATAAGAATGTCACATTTTACCAAACATACGTCTTTTCATGTTTGTGCTATTCATCAAATTACATTTATTTTTCAATAGTTGATTTTTTACCACTTATCATTTGGATGATTGAAAATCTCAACTGTTCTCAATTCTTGAACACATACATCTATCATCTGTGATATTACTTACCCGGTAATGATTGCTTCTCACCAAACACCTCCACTTCACACAGGTGTAGATAGTTGTTATGATCTTTCAATTGTACGGCAACATAACGTCCGTTTAGCTGACAATCAAATGTGATCTTCTCTCCATACGTGTTTGCATTCCAGTCTATTTGATCTCCACATTGGGCATTTTGGCTTAAATCAGAATTGTCACCAATTAACACCACAGCGCCGTCAATTCTCTCAGCTGAAATATCGAATATGCATTTTTCTAGAAGTACTGCGTGTATTTAGGGATATTTGATTCCATAGAGCACGGTTGATGCATGACATAGATTCAATAAACTCAAAGTATGTGTTATTTAGATATGATACCATGGTCCCCATTTTTAAAAAAAGTAATTACATTTATTAACACATTTCCCTAATTCAAGAAATATGGCATATGCTATATTTCATTTTAGTATTCAAATTGTTTATTTCAAACAACTTACAAAAATTAAAATCTGAGATAATAGTATTACGTTCCGTGCATTATTGTTTAACTGGTATATACTTACAACAACAATCTTGTCGATTGGTTATTACCACTTCAGATATAGAGTATGTTTCTCCCAAATCTAGTTTCCACCAAGCGCCCTGTTCTTTTGCAGTATGGCTACAACTTTTATCACCATATATGGAATCAACATTTCCATCATTA